AGAATGAGGCGCCACTGAGAGTTGCACTGTCACAGCCCAAGGCCATCCTAAACCAGCCAACCAAACACGGAGGCAGCCCCATGCACATCAGCAAGCAAGCCCAGCTGAGACCAGAACAACCATTCAAGAGGTGCAGGCTCCAGGGCTGTGATCTGACCACAGGTCAGCTGTCTGATCTCGTGAGCCAAGTCCCATTGCAAGGCAGCTATCTCCCCTCATCTCTGCACTGCCTTCCCGTGACAAGGCCTGCGCTGCAGAGCAGTGATGGCGGAGCAGGACCTGCAAGCCTGAAGCTATTTACTCATTGGCCCTTTAGTGAAAGTTTACAGATATTGGCTGATATTACAGATATTGGGGTGATTTGTTCAGCAGCTATAGCTGAAACAGCCTGTGGGGAACAGGAAGCCTTCTGTCCCTCCCAGGGAGCCAAGGGTAAGCCCTGGAGCTTGTCTGTAGCATGTCTCCCATTGGCTTCCAAGGCATGGGAAGACAGCAAAGGGAGAAAGGGCCCAAGCCAAACAGCAGCGATGGACCAGGTCTGGGTCTGGCCCTTGCCTCTACTGTCAAGGACACTGTCAGAGCTGGAGATCGTACCTGTTAACCAAACAGGAATGACTGAACTCCTGTCTGACCCTGGCTTCCAGCAAGCCCCACAGGACACCAGTGCTCTTCTCTGAAGAGGAACAAAAGGCAAGTCAAAAGATCTGGCAACTGGGCATGCAGGGGGAACACTTTCTTCCCCTGATAGGCTCCATTCGCCTTTCTGCCCCTGCCCCATTGAGCCTCTAGGCTTCCGGGCTGGGGGCACATGCAAGGGGGTCGTGGCTAGGAAACTGATTCCCATTCATCCTTGCAGAGTCAGCAGAGGTTGCCTGCTCCAGGAAGCCTTCCTGAGCTTCCCATTATGCAGGTGGCTTTCAGCCTGCTGTGTACTCCCTCAGCAGGCTGTAATCCCCCAATCTCTGGCTGCACCTGTCTCTCTGAACAGCCTTGAGTGAAGCTAGTCTAGTTACCTTTCAGAATCCACAGGGGATTGGGTCTGCGACTCCCCATGGATACTCAAATCCTAGTCCAGGATATCAATATTTGCATATAACCTGCACCCATCTTCCTGTATACTTTCTCTAAATTGCATACTCTCTGAATGACTTTAAATCCTTCTTATGGTATAAATGTTATGTAAATAACTGCTGTACTGGATTGTTTACAGAGCCAGCAATCCAGAAAAGTCAGCCCTTGTGTACAATCCAGACACAGTTTCCCTCCCCCTCCCACCAAAAATATATATTCTGCCCCACGGTCGCCTGAATCTGCAGATGTAGCATTACAGATCCAGAGTGCCGACTACCCCTACTTCTTCCCTGAGACACTGGCTATCAAGTATGCCTCTCTGAATTCCTGTGTACCAGACGGCTCCCAAACTGCTGCATGCTCAAAAACAGAAAAAGTTAGCCATGCTATTATTTATTCTGTAACTCTGGGAGACGTGTTATTTAACTCCATGCTGCGGATGCTGACAAAATAGAAAGTGTCGGTGCACATTAGCATGTGTCTAAACCCCAGGGGAAAACTGATGTCAGGCTTTATTTAATTATGATTAAAAAAACAACAACAAAAAAGGCAGCAAGATTTCAGCAGAAAGCCCAACTGGACAAGACCTGGCTGAGGGGGTAAAGATGGGGTGTTAGAGGTGGGACTGGGAGCAGAAAAGGACTACCAGGTTTTTCCTGTAAAGCACAACTTGAAGGAAAGGTATTCTAGACACTGTTGCAATGTCCCTCTCTCCACGGAGCAGCTGGGGGTACTCTCCACCTCACCCTTGCACTGCACTGATTGCTCCCCTAACTCCCAGCCCAAGCCCCCGGATGAGGAGGGCAGCTGTTTCTGGGGAGGAATGTCCCTCGCCTATGGCTCTGAGCACATCCTTGTCTTGCACCCCAGTTTTTAAGAGCTCCCCAAATGGGGCCAAACTTGGGACCCCACTTCACAGCCATCCCCAAGCAAGGCCCTAGTGTAAAAGCTCTGATCTGTGAGCACACGACCCACACTGCAGCCTTCTACTCACGTGTACACACACCTACTACCCTTCCACACACACACATGCTTACGTGACAGGAAAGCCTTCTGCAGCCCCTCCTTGCCCCCAGCCCTGCTTTGGAACCCGACCTGTGCCTCTGGATCCAGCTCTTACCCCAGATTCTCAAGGCAGAAACACCACGAAACAAGCAACCAAAATACCTGCAGCCCAGATGGCGGGCCTGGGATCCAGTCCCACCTCCTTCCCCGGCCTACCTTCCTGCTGTTGCACCTGCGAGGAAGCAGAAACTGGCCCCGGGACCTGGGTTCCTGCTCCCTGATTCTGGCCTAGCTCAGCACTGGCCATTATGGACACTTAGGGAGTATACGGAGGGTGGAAAATGGCTATCTCTTTCTTTGTTATTCTTTCAAATAAGTCACTCATTAAAAAAAAAAAAAGACAAAAAATTAAAAGATGCTCAAAACCACACACGCACAGGGTTTGGCACGCAGGCATTTAACACAGAACTTAAGAGTCTGGGACTCTTCCCCGCACACCTCATCAAAGCAGGCTGGGCTATAGCCCAAGTAGAATGCTGGGAGCAGGTGCCCCTGCATCCATGGGTGAGTGGCAGGGTCAGGACTGGAGCTGCAGTAGGCCTGGTCTTCCTGGCTAGAAATCCTGTCAAGACTAGATTCCCTCCAGACTGTCTGCATGCAGTGAGGATGGACAGGGGGTGACCGGCTCCGATCTGGAGGTGGCCACACACAGAGGACAGAGATAGGGCAGCAACAGCCTCTGCATCCCAAGCGACCTTCTGACGTTCCAAAAGTCCCAGGGCGAGGGGCCAGAAGTCTCCACTACATTGCTTAAAGTACGGTGCAAGATCAGCAGCCAAGAGTCTCTGGGAACTTGTGAGAAGGCCAACTCTCAGTTCCATTAGCCCCCAGCACCCACACAGGGTCAATGATACGCCATTCCAGCCAAGCCAAATCCCTTTCCAGGCCCCACCATTCTCTGCTAAACAAGCGCCTCCTTCACTCACCCCTGCTGCTCCTCTAACCCACCCATTCCACACACTGTGGCCTGCACCTGCCCTTCTTGAAGCAACAGGCTCTCTCTCGCAGCCAGCCCTGGTGAGCACCCCTTTTCTAAGACAGTGGCCCCACCCCTGTGAAGTGTACACCCACCGCTCATTCTAAATCCGCCTTTCACAAGGTCTTCCCCCTCAAGTCACTGACCTCGACCCCTGTGGTCATGAGCACTTTCTTGGTGAGGCACCACTTGAAGGAATACTATTTCACCCATTCTAGCACACAGCGGCCTCTGTCCCAGCATTCATCACACAGGCCACCTCAGCCAGAGGCCCTGCTCTAGTAGCAACTGGCAGGGCAGGGGACCCAGAATACCCACAAGAAATATCTGGTGACGGACTTAAGCCAAGTCCTCCGTGCACCTGACATTCTAGCCATAAAACACACTGGATGCCAAACAGTTTTGGTTGCAACTTGGGGCAGGGGGGGGAATGTACTGAAGTTCTGAAAGCTGTGAAGGATGCCTTCTGGGAACCAGCCGGACCTTTGGAGGTGGGCACAGAGTTCTGGCTCCCGGTCAGGGGTGGTCATGGGAAACAAAGGTGGGGGGGTGCTGCAAGGGAGAGGTCCAGGCTCCCCCAGTCCCTATGACAAACAGCTCCTGGGCCATTCCCAAGACTGCCAAGAGCCTCTTAGTACCTCAGTACATGCCCGGCATCTCCCAGGGAATGTGTCCCCTCTCTTGGGCAGCTCCTGAGTGGCCACCTGGCTCCTAGTTCCCTTGTCATGGAGGCATGGCATTCTGGGCTAGGAAATTACAGACAGGTTTCCCCTAAACTGGTTCCTGGGAGAGGGGTGCAGGTGGCCCATGCCACCCTTGGCAGACCAATGGGAAGGGTCCCCTAGGGTCTCTGTAGGGAGGGGGACCCAGCGCACAGAGGAGGGGTACCCTCTTACTCCTCCGTACTGGAAAACAAAAAAGGATCCCTTTCCAAGCACCAGCTGGCAGGTAGGAGCCTGCTTTCCTTCTATCACCCAGACCTAAAAAAGAGTCCAGACTCTTCAATCGGTCTGCCCCAAGCCAGGCCTGAGCCCAAGTTTACCTTGGGGAGAATGTTGGGAGAACAAGAGAGACAGTGGGCTGACAGCCACGCAACCCTGCCCTAAGCGCCCGCTGCTCCCCCTGGGCCTCAGATTTAATCAAAACACTGCCTTCCACCAGAAGCAGACAGAACAAGTATTATTTTATGGAGGAAGGGAGGACGTCCCTAGAGTGTGAAAGGGGGAGGGAGGGACGTGTGACGGGAGTGGAGCCCGGCTGCAATTAACCGGCCTGCTTCAAAGGAGGGGTCAAGATGGGCTGCTACTTGGGCAGGCTGATGTCACAAGGTGCCCTCAGCCTAGGGCAGTGCGGCGGGGGTGGAGCCAGGAAGGACGAGGGTGATGGCAAGAGGGCCTCCGAGAGTGCAGGCGTGGAGCGCTCCAACACGGGGTTCCGGCGGTAGCTCTTAAGTACAAAGGGCCGTCCGGATTTGGAAGCTGGCACAGGGGTGGGAGGTGGGAGGCAGGACCGGGGCAGTTAAGAGGGAATGACAGAGATTTAAAGTCAGTGCTACAGAGAAAGCTGTGCAAGATAGGCGAGTGCTTAGCCAGCTCTGGTGGTCCCCATTCAAATGCGTGTGGGGTCGGGGGCAGGAGCACACCAGAGTAAACGCCTTCTAAGTGGGTGACAGGTTGGATTACGACTCGTCAGGCGCGCAGAGTCCTTGTACTTCCAGCAAGGCGCCCAGAACCAGGCGCCCTCTTGGGCTGTGGACTCAGAACGGGGGCAATCTGAGGGCGCGCGAGTCCTAGCCCGACGCGGAGGTGTGGATTCGGGTTCCCCGCGCGCAGCAGCAGCAGGCGCCGCTCGGGCATCTGGTGGGGGGCGAGCCCACGTAGCGTCTTACCTTGTCTTTCTTGCCGGCTCCGCTCTCGTCGGCGGCCGCGGCGGAGCACTTGTTGAGCAGCTTCTTGCCCCCGCAGGCCGTGGGGCTCCAGGTGCGGCCGCCGGAGCAGGCGCCCCCCGCAGGGTCCCCCGCGCCGCCGCCCGCGGCGCTCTCCACTTTGATGAGCCGGTGCTTGGGGGAGATGTACCGCACCTCGGCCGGCGTGGCTGGCCGCCGCTCGCTGCTGCTCCGGTAGAGGTGCGGGGAGCCGGAGGACGACGACGAAGACGCGGCGGCGCCGGCGCCGGAGGAGGCGCAGCAGCAGCCCGCGGCGCCCGACGCGGACGAGGCGGAGAAGGCGCGTTGGCCCCCGCCTGGCTCCCCGCCGCCGCCGCCGCAGTAGTCCAGGCGGCACATGGCGCGCAGTTTGCGCAGCGACGAGCCGGGCCCGTTGTAGGGGTCCTCGAAGTCGCGCTCCTTCTGCGCGCGGTAGGCGCGAATAAGGTCGCTCGTGCTGCCGCTGTCGTCGGGCAGCGAGCCCGACGAGGCTGAGAAGCAAGAGGCGGCGGCCGGACCGCAGGACGCCGAAGCCGTTTGCGGCACGGCCTGCGGGGGTTGCGAGGGCCGCTCGCCCCGGCGCCGCTGCTCTCGGTAGTCCGGCCGCGGCGGCTGTGGGGGGCTCTTGGTCTTGCTGCTGCCCAAGCTGAAGTACTTGTTCAGCCACTTGGCCATGGCGAGAGGCCGCCTAGGGCCGCGGCGCGGGTGCCGGGTCCGCTGCCGCGGCCATCCGGAGGGCAGCGCTGCCGCCCAGGTCCCTCGGCGCCCCGGCCCCCCGGCGAGGGGCGTCCGGGGCGCCCGCTCCAGACGCCAAGTTCAAGTTCTCGCCGCCGCCTGCCGGCAGCTCTCGGGCTCCGGCAGCTGCAGCACCGCCCTCCGCCTCCGCCGCGCGCCGCCCGGGCTTCGGATCTCGCGCCCCTCGCGGGCGCGTCTCATGGGGTCCCGGCCCGCCGCTTCGCCGAGAACGGGAAGGCCCGGGAGGCCCCCGCCGCGACGCGCGCTCCTGGTCCCGTCGGAGCCGCAACCTCCGCCGCGGCCGGGGATCGGCTGCTGCTGCTGCTGCTGCTGCTGCTGCTGCGGGGGAACTTGGCGTCCTCAGCACACCCCCACCACCACCCTTCCTTTGCCGAAAGCGCCGGGGGCGAGAGCTCGGCCCTCTCAGCTGACGAGAAAAGCGGGTTTAGAAGAGAACGAGCGAGCCGTGAGAGGGAGGGAGGGAGAGAGGCAGCGGCGACCGCCCGGAGCTCGCGCGCCCGTGCCCCGGTGCCCGTCCCGGCGGCGCCTGTCGCCTGCCGCTGCCGCCGCCTCCCGAGCCGCCGCGTGTGTGACACCCGGGCGGCCAGCGCCCGCCCCGCGCCGCCGCCCCGCCCTCCCCGGGCCCGCGCGCGCCCCGCCTCGCCGGCCCGCCCCCGCAGGCCCGGCCCCGCCTCCAGCCCGCGAGCCGGAGCACCGCCCTCGGGGCGCCCGGTCCCGCTCCAGCACGCGCCACCTCCCGCGGCTGTCCCGGCGCCAGCCCCCCGGCTCGTGCCCGTAGGCGCGTTGGGGTCCCGCAGCGCGAACGGCTCCGCCTCGGGTGAGAGGGACCCGGGCTGAGCCTGGCAGCGCGCGGGGGGCCGTGCCAGTCCGCAGCCCCTCCGGCCCCGGGACTGGAAGCGCTGTGTGCCCCGTCCCCCTCAGCGGGGTCGGAGGGGGGCTCCCCCAGGATGGAGTTGGGCGGCGGGAGCGGATGAACGCGGGACCTGTCTAGTTCGCGACGCCGGTGCGTGCTGAGGAAATGCGCTGCGGAGCGCCCTGAGGGACAGAGTGGCTGTGTGTCACCCCCCTTTCTTAAAGGGACAGAGACTCCGGTTCAGCCCCCCCGTGCGCCGGGTCTTTGGAGAAATTTATGCTAATAGAGATGGGGGGTCTTTGGAGAAATTTATGCTAATAGAGATGGATTAGCAACCCAGATGACGGATGCGGCCGGGATAGGCGGCGGCGGCTGCGCGGGGCACCAATCGGAAAGCAGGGCTAGGAGGGCGGTCGGAATGTTTTCTTACCTTTTCACCCCTGAGGAAGTCGGCCCTTTAACCCGGTTCCCTGCCAACCTGGCAGAGCGAGGCTATGGGAGCCTTTAATGAGGTGGTAGGCGGTGGCCGGACTCCGGGTCAACCACGTGGAGAAACGAGGCCCAGAGGAAACTCACGGAGGTGCACTTGGGTTCCAGATCTTGAGGGTGCTGGCGCCATGCTGGTGCCATTCCGTGTTTAGTCTGTTTTTTGGTGACTTTCGCGCGGGTGCTTACAGAAGGCTGAAGGAGGGGGTGGAGTGTAGCTGGGTGTAGCAACTCCCAAGGTCAACACCCATGGCAGGCCTCTAGCTCCATGCTGATAGGATATGTGGCTGCTAGGGGTTGAATGCCACTGTGATTCCCGCTGGGGTAGGCCCCCAAATACGATTAACTCCAAAGTGTGGGTGTCTGAGGAACTAAAAATGTTGACTTCTAAAACCGTAGCCCAGTTAGGTGCCCTGTGTTTACCATCTGTGTGCCCTGGGTGGGTGTCTGAGGGCTGTGCTGGCACCGCGGAGTGAAAGCAGGACTGCCTGCCTCTCAAGCCAGCCGGTCAGACTGGACTGTGGATTTTGCAAACCATCCTGGCATCCTGAGACCCCTCACAGTCACAGAAAACAGCACCGATGACTCAGCCTGTCCTTGCCGAAGTAAATACAGGCCTATTTATTTAGCAGTTCAAGGAAATAATCTAAGAGTATGTGTGTGTGTATACTGTGTCTGAAGAAATGGGGAGGAGACCTAAAGCTGACCTAGCTAAGATGTTTATTTTGGGTATCCCTAGACTTAAACATCTCAAATTACCCATTAAGTCACTCCTCTGCTGCACCAGCACTTAATTATCCTGCATGTGGGGAGGCCCACATGAGGCCCCAGCAGAAAACCTGAAAGACCACGACTTCCTTGTCTTAAGCCCCGCCTTCCGCCCAGACACAGGTCTTCGGTCCCCTGCCTTCCCCACTCCCCGGCTAGGCCCAGGAGAAGGGTGCTGGCACTGGTCCTTTGCGGTGACGTGCCACGTGCGGTTTATATGAAGAAGCGTTACCTCTGCGTTTCCCAAAGGCTTAGAGAGAAAAATTGTGTTTTGTTTTTAACAACCCTGTTCCCCACCGCCCCACACACTTTGCTTTCAGCAGGCCATGGGATCAGACCTGCCAGCTGTCCTGTGCAATGGCCCTGCTGAGGTGTAATTTGCAAGCCATAATTGTTGTCATGCTGCAGGGCTATGCCCAGAGCTGCCCATGTCCTTGTGGATCCGTGCAGCCTCCAAGTGCTCTGTCATTGACCTCCTGCACGTATCTGCTGTTTGGGGTTCTTCCCAGCCTGCAGTTACTCTGGGAGCTTGAAGGGACCTGCCTTCCAAGACTCAGATGCAAAAAGCATTGTGCTAAAAGGCACCAGAAGTCTTGCTCAGGGAGCTGCCAGAGAAGCAGTTGTGTCCAGTGGTTGGGGGGAGACAGGGCCATGCAGGGAGAGTCAGAGCAGTAGAGGGTGTTCAGCTGGACAGACTCTTCTCAACTAGCCCACTTCATAGCGGGAAAACTGAGGCAGTGAGGACCAGAGGCACAGCTGGGATGGGTCCCCGATCTCCTGACATCGCTCACTTGACACCCTGGGGTGCTGCAGACCATGTCTGTCATCTCTGGCAGTTTTGCTTTGGTGCTCTCCCGCCTGCCCTGACACTGATTGCTTGTTAGAAGGGCTGGGTATGACCCTGCTTCTCTTTCCATGTTGTTTCAGCTTTTCGCTCCAGACCAACAGTTCCCCAAGGACAGGGCCTGGGCAGCTCCTGACTCTGCAGCTCCTTCCACCGTGTGTGGAAGAAGGCCAAGCCAGGCCATTTGTTGTGGCCCAGACAAATGACGCTGCCAAGCTACCAGACTCATCTACGTCTTTTACAGAAGCATCATTCAATTTGGTTGGTATCCGCTCCTCTGCCCCATTTGTATGCCAGGCCCCAGGGGATGCAGATGGTCGACATGGCCATTCTGTTTCTCACTAATCCCTGTGCATGGCCAGGCAAGAGAAGAGAAGCACAGGCAGAATAAGGGGCAAAGAGCCATAGGCACGTGAGAAGGCAGCTTAACTGATCGCAGAGGGTCCTCGTGGAAGGTGATGTCCTAACAAAGCTTGAAGGATGGATAGAGTTTTGGGATATGGACAAAGCAAAAAGATGGAAGGAATGACACAAGTGAAGGCATAGAAACGAGCATGCTGGCAGCAGTGACTGAGGAAGGAGATGAGTAGTTGAGAATTTAGGAAACCATGACATGGTAGTTTAAAGAGACACATAGGAAAAATGGTCCCTCAGAGTTGTGATGTGCCAGGTAGGGAGAATGGAGCTTTATCTTGTAGGCAGTAGGAAGCCATTGCAGGGATTGGAGCAAATAAATCACCTCTTTTTTTCTATAAGATTTGTTTTATTTTTGTTGGAAAATCAGATCAGATTTACAGAGAGGAGAGGGAGAGATGATATGCTGGTTCATTCCCAAAATGGCCACAAAGGCCAGAGCTGAGCGGATCCTAAGCCAGGAGCCAGGAGCTTCTTCTGGGTCTCCCACATGGGTGCAGAGTCCCAAGGCTTTGGGCCATCTTCTACTGCTTTTTCAAGCCACAAACAGGGAGCTGGATGGGAAGTGGTGCAGCCAGAACATGAACTAGTGCCCATGTGGGATCCTGGTGCTTGCAAGGTGAGAATTTAGCCATTGAACCAATGCTCTGGACCCTGCCTCATTTTCTCCCTCCCTACATTTTATAAAACTCTTTTGGGAGGCATTGTGGAGGATGCCTTTCATGAGCAGGTATAGCAGGCTTTTAACTGCTTTGCTTGTGCTGTGCCTTCTGCCAGTACACTCTTGTAGCTGTTCAAGAACCTTAATGTGGTATCTTGGACAGTCCCTAGTGCATGGAAGGCACTCGGTCCTTAATTATTGAATGAATAAATGGCATTGGAATAGTGCAAAACTTAAAAAGACTTTTAAAAGCTTATATTTTAAAAGACAGAGTAGCAGAGAAACAGAGAAGTCTTCCATTTTTTGGCACATAACAGCCAGAGCTGGACCTGGGCAAAGCCAAGAACCAGAAACCTCATCCGGGTCTCCCAAGTGGGTGGCAGGGGCCCAAGTTACTTGGGCCATCTTCTGTTGCCCTTCCCTGGCATATTAGCAGGGAGCTGGATTGGAAGTAGAAGAGCTGGGACTCAAATCAGCATGCCGACATGGAATGCTGGCATCTCAAACAGTGGCTTAACCCACTGTGCCACAACAGAAGCCTTGTTACACGGCACTGTTTTGGAGGCTGAATTCTGCCTGATTCCCACATCACTGGCTTTGGAGTACCAGTAAATGATGGTACTAAGGGTACCATTCCTAAGGGTAGTGACACTGAAGGGAACAGAAAGGGTTATTTTGGTTGACTTGGTATTAGCAACCTGTAGATACAAAATCCAGGGCAGGACATGTAGATGGGCAGGCATTGAGCTCTAGCTGCCTGACATGCTAGATCAGAAACCTCACTCATTTGTGCTATTTGACCCATCAGAAGGCGGGATGCAGAATCTAAATGCTTCCAGCTTGCTTCTTTGCTGTCACCGTGGACTGACTCCATCTCTGCCTGATTGATGGCCGGGATCTCATACCCACTTTTCCCACTTCTGATTCAATACAGTAGCCAGTGGTCCTGTTAAAAATGCCTCTAGGCAGACATTTGACCTCACAATGAAGATGCTTGTGTCCTGTGTCGGAGCGTCTGGGTTTGATTCCTAGCTCTGGCTGCTGATCCTGGCTGCCTCTAATGTAGCCGCTGAGAAGCAGTGGTGAATGCTTGCCCGTGGGGGAAGCCGGAACTGAGTTCCTTCTGCCTGCTGTTGGCCAGCCCAGCCATGCAGGCATTTAAATATATGAACCAGCAGGTAAGAGCTCTATCTCTCATCCTCTCAGATAGATGTAAAGTTATGTTTTTCCAAAAGGATTCAACTGGGGCCAGTTTGGGTTGTGGCAGAGCAA